ACGCTACATGAAAGATGCAATCGATCATTAGAGATTGATATATAAGGAAAAGGGTCTATAGAAACATGATGTGGATGAATTAAGGATTGTGCTTTCCTTATGATATTCTCTCTCTTTTTAGGTAAAACTTTTGCATTTCTCCTTTCTACTATTTTGTGACTGTTCTTATCGTACTAAACTCTTAAAACTTTTATTATCAGTATACTCATTTTCCTTGGCTTTTATGAATATCAGTATCCATTTGCACCATCAATTGTTGTTATATTGTTGCTTGTGATTGAGTATGACATTTTGGTGCTCTTATTGTGAGAACTCTAATAAAGGACTTGCAATTGAGGAATAAGTTCTACTAGATGAAATATAAGCTTTATTGAAGCAATTTTCTGCATTAATGGTACAGCAAAAATGCAAGACTCAAAAAATTAGAGTCTTCTATCTTTAAGGTTTTCTACTCTCTTGATCCATTAGTAGCAGGTGATGATCAAAACTATCAATAATGACCCATCCAAATCCCAGACTTAGTGTGGTTTGGTTTTCAATTTGTCAAAAGTTCATTGGTTGAAAGTTTATTTAGTAAAAGTCAATTTGACAAAAGTTAGTTATTACAATGAAATTTATATTTGGATAATTTTTTTAAAAGTTAGTTTAGCAAATTGAAAGTTGTTTGGATTATGGTAATGATTAATTAAAAATAAAAGAGTGAGAATTAGTTGATGATAAAATTATGGAAAGTACTTTAAAAAAGCTATCCATAGTTAAGTTTAAAGAATAGACTTTTGGAGCTTTTTAGATGTGCTTTTTAAATGAACTTTGAAAATAATTTAAAGAAACCAAACAACTTTTACATTCTTGAAACTTCAAAAGTCCTTTTTGAATGTAAAAAATAAGTAAACCAAATGGGCTCTTAGATTCCACTCCATTGTTGGCTCTGTAACTTGATGAGCTATTTCAAACTTGATGGATTACAGTATTATCTCACCTATAGTTACAATTTTACGAGTGACAATGTTGCTAGAGGCAAGGGGAAGGCTAGTCAGGACAAGGAGTATGTGAGCTCTGCTTCATTGTATTACTCTTAGACTTTTATTTTTGTCATATAATTGAATACCTATATATATATACTTATTATTGCTAACTAAGTGCATACCATTCTTCAGTATTGTGAGCTATTATTAAAGGTTTGTCCTCATGAATAAACTACCCAAGCTCTCCAATTGTGAGGAGCCACCCAATTAATGCTACTACACTTACTTTTGGACCATGATTTAGTCTAACACTAACAATCATGGGATATTATAACTCTAATCTAGTCTCTTCATAAATAAGTGAAGATAGTAAAGTTCAAGTCCCTCTTAGTAGGTGGGATAGTCCCTCATTAACAAGTGGGACATAAATGGCAAGCCATCAAGTTCCAATAGCAGCCTTACCACATGGATTTATAACTACTACTCTCCTTAAGTAATCTCCTACTAATCATGATCATGTAATAAAGTCATGCTTGACACATATAGCATGCAATAATCTTAATCAACATACTCAATGATTCAATCTCGACATGCTCAACAATAATCTTATGAACTTTACATCATTAGGCATATATGTCTCATAACCATCCCATTACACCTTACAATCTTAACACTATTACATCTTATGTGTCATCTCTTTCACATTTCTATCAGATATTTTTATAATCATGCTTAATGTAACTTTATTCATATTTTTCATATAATCATGCAATCTTTTTCATCAAAATCACGTAATACTTCAGTCTCATTCTAACTTGTAACTTTACATATTTTCAAATATATACATAGTTTTAATATAAGTATTAAAAAGCTATAATCAATTAAAAAATGTCTAAAACTAGATTTTTTTCATGTTGCCTTAAACTTTTGAGAAGTTAAATATTTATCCCTTAATACCAAACACTTCCAAAGCTTCATAGAGCTTTAATGATGTCAAAAAATGATTAATCTACAATTAATCATACAATAATTATTAATATCATTATTTTCACACATCACAACCCCTATCTCAACTCTTAAAATAGTCAAAACTCCTAGCCCTTGGATCCCATCATTCCCATAAAGTTTATAACTCCCATTAGCTTTAACTAATCCTAACTGACTTAGAAATCAACATTATTAATATCTAACAACTCCAACCACCATATTTATTGTCATTTTCAAACATAAATGTGAACGCAATCAAAATAGAGCGTTAAATTCTTAAACCTAAGTTTGAATAACTAAAACAACTCTCATTAACTTTATATAAGTCCATGGGTTTAGACTCATAATCTAAAAGTCTAAAAATCTCTTCTAAACAACAAACCCTAGCCTCAAAATCCTATTAAAAGATAAGAGAAAGGAAGAGAGGAGTATGGGAAACTTACCCTAAGTGATTGTAAACTCTAAAATGTTCCCAAATCTTCACAAACTTAAGCCCTAGCAAAGCCTTGGGGTGTTCTCCATTGCCTCTCTCTTAATCTCATCCTTCTCTCCCTCTCTCTCTCTCTATTTTTTAGCTATTTAAAATGCTTTTATGATGTTTAACTTATGGATGATCTTGCATGCGATAAATCACAACTGTTTGCGATTGTCTCCACTTAAAAAGGTTTGTCCTTGTTTAAAATTATAGATGGTTGTATGCAATGTAAATCAAAACCATGTATGGTTTTGATCAAAAAGCACACCTACTTCTAATGGTGTTTAACCGAGAATGGTTATCTTCAGAGAAGGACACAATTGCATATGGTTTTTCATAAAGAGAATACTTTATTTCCAGGGATGCTCAACCGTTTGCTGTGATCCCTTTTTTTGTGACATTTGCGGAAAGAATTGAACAAAAACCCCATTTATACCTTAAACTCAATCTTAAACCTCAATCTCACATTGCAATATTCCTAATCACTCATTACTTTATTTAATGCTCTTAATAAAAATTTTGAGATATTTCAACTCTTCCCTCCTTTTAAAAATTTTATCCTCAAAAGGATAAAACAAACTTATTAGAAAAGGTGAGGATATTGTTGCTTTATCTTCTCCTCATTTTTTTCAAGTAGTATCTCCAAGAGTCATTCCTCTCCAAACCACCTTTTATAAGGAAAATTGTCTTATTTCTCAATTACTTCTCTTTCACATCCACAATCTGCTCTAGTTAAGCTAGCAAGCTAAGTTCTCTTGTAGCTCAACATCTCCAGGTTCAATACTGTGAGATAGATTGGGTTGTTACTTCTTTAGTTATGACACATGAAAGATATCATGTATACTCAAAAGATAAGGTGGAAGTTCAATTTGATAGGCAACCATCCAAATCTTCTATAAGATTTGAAAGGAACAATGAAATGAGGAGTCAACTTCTTAGCTTGACTAAATCTCCTAATTCCAGTCATAGGGGTAACTTTCAAGAAACCATGATCACTAACTTTAAACTCTAATGGTCTCTTCTTCTTATTTGCATAACTCTTTTGCCTATTTTGTGCAATGAGTAACTTCTGTTTGATCATCTCTATCTTCTTAGTTGTCTAATTCACCAAGTCTAGATCTAAAATACTTCTCTCACTTGGCTTGGTCTAACACAGAGGTGATCAACACTTTCTTCTATGCAAGCCTCATACGGAACCATTTGAATACTCAACTGAAAGCTATTATTGTAGGAAATTTTGCAAGAGGCAGCTGCTTATCCTAGTTACCAACTCACTCAATCGCATAAGCCCAAAGCATATCCTCCAAGGTCTAATTGGTTCTCTCAGTCTGACCACTGGTCTGTGGGTGATGTGTATTAAATTCTAACTTCATACCCATAGCCTGATGCAACACTCTCTAAAAGTTTAATGTAAACCTTGAATCACGATCCAACATTATGTCTTTTGGTACCTTGTGTAGCCTGATAATCTTTTAATTATACGCTTTGGCAAATTTCTTCATAAAATAATCAGCACGGATAGCTAAGAAATGAATAGACTTTGTCAATTTGTCAACTATAACCCATATGATATCATAGCCTACTTGAGTACGGGCCAAAACCATTTTGAGGTTAACAAAAAAAAGCATAGTTTGAAACTACAAAAAATTAAGCTAATGAAATGACAAATACCATGATCATATTCAAATGTAAGGATGCAACCTTTGCTGATAGGATTTAATTGGTTATATATCTACATTTCATATTAATATAAAGACTAAGATGGGTTTGAAAAGACACATAAATTTAATAATTAGAAGCATAAAGCAAAGTAATGGTCAAGCAAACAATAGAGTATTTAGTATTGGGATCATAATACAAAGTATCTAGCACAGCGAATCCCTTAGCAAAGCGAAATCTGTCAGTCTCTGAAGCCACAGACACCTCCATGTAATTCTCAACTTGACTACTAACACCTTGAATCTACAAGGTGCTCCCTTTATATTGCAAATTGGTGAACACGATTGAGATCATCCTATTTATGTTAGACCCAAAACACACGTAGCAAGCAAACCTTGAGCCCTCCCAATCGAGGTTGAGTTCCTATTAGGACCTAGTGTTACTGGATCATCCACTGCCTAAATGGTTCCAAATGTATTATAGGACCATTCCTTCCCTCTTATGCTGGCCACTGTGGCTACTGTTGCGTTAGGTCCTATTGCCACATCTTGCAGAAAGAACACTAGGTTCTGATGTTCACAATTTCCTTCCTAATGGGTTAGAGCTAAGGCTATCAGGAGCAATATCAAGAAGGAAGTGAGTTTGGTTGGTTTTTGAAACGCAAGAGCCATTACAAATGACAAGTGATGAGCTTGTTTTGTAAATGGGCGCTCTATTTATAGCAATTCGTGTGGCAGGGATGACTGTTAAAGCAAGAAGTTATCATTATCTTTTAGGTGTTAAGGTACAGCTTCAGTTTACAAGCTGTTGTATGCATCAGTGTAGTTATCATGTGAGTGTGACAGTTAGAAAATGATAAGTTGTAACTGATAACTGATGAGATTTCAAGAGGAAGGTTAGTGTCACTGCTGCACTTTTCATCAAAGAAAGAAAAGGCCAGTTTAGTTTACTAAAAACATGAAGAGAATCAGTCTCAAATCTTTATACACATAAATATAGCTCCAGCTGTGACCTCCTCATTCTGGGTTTGAAAACCTAAATGTTTGCCAACAGGACAAAATCTGATAAAATTAAAAGCACAAATCAATTGGTTTGTAATGTATAATTTGATGTTATCAAGCCTCCAGCTGAGACCGAAGATTCTGATTGTCTGCCATGAGTTTATTATATTCCACGAGCAATCCCTCAGACTGTTTCTTAAGAGACTCTACTTCAACTTCCAAAGCCTTAGCCTTGCCGTCTTTAACCTCACATTCAGATTCCAGTTGCTTAATTTTGGGCCTCAATATGGCTACCTCTTCCACCAATGGTTTCTCCTCTTCCGTGCCGACGCTTTTACCATCCTCGAAACTTCGAATTTGCTTCTTTGCGGCCTCCATGCTGTTCCTCAGCGTCCGAAGCTCTCTTATGTAATTATGGAATCTATCAATCATCAGAGAGAGGCACAGTGCAAACCCTGAACACACCACAGTACACGTGAAAATATCAAATTCACAACACACACACACACACACACACACACACGTACGGTGCATGATTTGATGGATACTTATAGAAGAGCAAATTGCATATGCAAGAATAAATAAAGAAGGTAATGGCTTAGAACCAATTTTATTGAATTAAAAATAATCTTATCACGTGTAAAGAATTTGAGAGGAGTTTACAACAAGCTACCCTGAAAACAATGAATGATAGGCAATACCAAATTCCGCCATAAGAAAGAGAACTCTACAATTAAAGAAAGTTTTAATCCCTTCCAGCAATGCATTACTGTGATACATAAGAAACTTGTATCACCTTTCTCTGGTCAGACTTTCGCAATTATGCATCTCCTCACATTCCGTAATTCAAATGATCAATCACATGTGAGCTGAATGATCTAATGTCCAAAAATTCACAATGAATTATTTGTCACATTATAATTATATCCTTGTCATCTTCTCCAATTCCTATACTCTCGGCAATTTTTTTTAAATGCATTCCCTGAAAAAAAAAATTACCTCGTATGGCACAATATTTTTATTTAATGTTACTATTTGCAAGGCCCATGTGCAAATCAGCACACGGATAAAATGCTCACAGATTGACTGTAAACTTCGTTTAATATGGGCCATAAGTCCAAGAAGATAAATACAGCTGTACCAAACCGGGCAATGCAGCCTTGGATATCATGGGGAAAAAAAGGACTAACTTGATAAGAATGCAAAAAGGCATCACGTTTCTCATCTTTGGTTTGGTGGAAGAAATTATTAGAACAAAGTTAATTAGATTCCCAAATAGTAAAAAGATGGTTATATGACAAAACAGGAGTGGTGTGAACGGTTAGAGAGAAAAGGAAGTACGAGGGAGATGGGAAGTCACCGATAGTAGAAGCTTCGAGCAAATGCTTATACATGAGGAATTGATCGGTGGTGTTGACGGCGGTAGATTCGTTATTGTTGCGCTGGTGGATGGAGACAACGCTATAGATGCTTGAAGCAAAGAGCACCAAGAGAGTGCCGTCCACCGTCTTCACAATGACAGGGCCTCGACCTTGCTTCATCCGATCTAAGCTCATGATCACCACCTGCCTCAGCGGCGTCTTGAACAGCAGAAGCAACACCACCGTCATCTCCCCGGCTATCACTGAAAACACTGGAACCAGCATCTTCTTCTTCCGCGTAACCCTAGATCTCCAGGACCAATAAAAGGATTAGCGAGGCGAGGGGCTTGTTTTGAATCGGTGTTGTCCGCTGTGCTATGTCGTCTCTCCTTTTACGTGCGGAATAGATGTGGTCAGCTACTTAGCATGTAGAGAAGTTCTTGCTTCTACGATGATCAAGATCTGTCTTCAACATCTTATCAATAACTCTCTTCGTTCAAATATGGAACTCCATCACCACAGCAATTAGTCATTCTCGTTTTATTTTTAATTTGGATTTCAAACCTTGAGCTTTTTTCCTCACCATTTAGTTTAGCTGCAGACTCGCCTGTCCACTCGTTTTCCAATTTCCTTTTTTCGGTAAATAACAATCGTTATCCAGGCTCCAAAATGCATTTGACTTTCTCAACTCCCTAACTGTCCGCCTTTCTATAATAAATTAGTATACTTGAAAACTACCATTAATCTACTTACACATATTTCAAGCGCGCAAATTTTCCCTTAAAAAACATAAATTTTCTAAACGATTTTTTTTTTTCATTGACTGCAAGCATTTTATGAATGCAAGTTATATCTATATATATCTATATATATATATTGCACGCATTTGGGATTGACATGTGTAAATCTCATGCGTATATCAAGAATCAAGTGTTGGCAATTTCACCACGGTAGTTCGGAAAAAAATATCTGCTAATATGTTATACTTTCAAAAATACCTCTCTAAATATTATAAATCTCAAATTCACTTTGAATCAGACAAAGTTTCAAATTTTTTAGAACATAAAAATATTGAGGTCGGTCTCTTAATGCTTGTATTTTTTTAAAAAAAATTTGATGTGATAGGCACGATAGGCAAAAGCTATGCCTATCGCTACCACACCCTAATTGAAGATTGCATTCCATAGTTTAAAGGTAAGAAACAGACGACCATGGCTCATATGGACTTGACTCTAAAGGATTTAAGCTCATAAGCTAACCTAACCGTTATTTAAAAAGTTTAGAGTTGAGCCCATAGGTTAATTTTTATTTTTTTTAATTTTTAAAAATTAAATTTTTAATTATAATATTTCATATTTTTTTAAAATATAAGTGATAATGTTCAAAAATTAAAAATAAATAATAGAAATCCTTATATCAAAGTATAAATATATATTCTAAAATTTAACTTAATTTAAAAATTAAAAGATATTTTTTTTGGGATAAAAATAAAACAAGCTTAAAAGGATCACTTTAACTTGAGCGTCTTTTTCATGATTTATTAGACCGGGGCTTCAAAGCCCATTTTTCCTAAAAAAATGTCATTTTTAAGTCTAAATTCTTATAAAAATAAATTTAAATATTAACTTGTCAAGCCTAGTCCTTATTTTTTACTATCATATTATTCTTTTTTTTCATGGCAGGTTGCCCTTCCCCCCTCTTCTTGTGTGGGTGTGTGATGGATCTGGTTTGGGTTTTTTTTTTTGGGAGGGGGGGAGGGCAACATGTGTCTTTGAATGTTTATATATAAAATAATATGATATTAATTTTATTATTACAATTAAGTTAAAATATGCAAAACTCTATTAAATTTTAAAACATGTGATGAAGCCCCTCATCTTTAAAAATTCAAAGTTAATCTCCTTGATCTTTAATTTTTTTGGCAAAAAAAAAATCTTTAACTTTTTTACCACAAATTCTCCTATTATTATTTTAAATTATTTTTTAGCAGAAGTTGTCATATTATATTAGGAAAAAGATATGGGAGTTACATCACGTAAGCCTTTACATGTTTTTTTAATACCATATGAAAACTTCAATTAATAAGCTAATTAGAAAATAATAGTAAACGAATAATAAGATATCTCAATTAGAGAACATTATTAATTACACCCTCAATTGAGAGTATTTTTTTTATTCTATTTATAAGTCACTTTTAATATCTTTATGGGATAGGGGAAAAACATTTAACCTCAATAACTTTATCTAAAATTTTAATAAGCTTTTAATTTTGTCCTTATTAAATATGTATACTTTGAAAATAAAATACTTTAACAGACACATTATTTTATTTAAAAAATTCAACAGTCGCATGAAAATTTTTTAAAATTATTAATAATAACAACTTTTATAAATATTTGTAAACAATTAATAAAATACTAACACACATGATAAAGAAAATAACAATGTTTATGCATCACCCAACAAGAAACGCAAGGTGAAGGGAAAGGGGAATGGGGCAGGAGAATGGAGCAATGATATACGTATCTTGCTAGGCCTGTCACAACAATTTTTTACAAAAAGATTTATAGGTACATACTCCTCTAGTTTTATTTATAAATTATTTCTAACATGTTTTATTAATATGAAAAAAATTTAAAAGTTATTAACTCTATCTTAAAATTTAATAAGCTTTTAACTTTGCCCTTACTAAAGATACATAATTCAATAATATATTTTCTCTCTTCAACATTCAATGGAGGATAAAAAAGAAAATTTATAATAAAACTTTAATAACATGACTTATAAATATGATCAAAAAAATTCTTCTCTCTCTACCTTATAAATAGAACTAGAAGGAGTAACTCGATCTAATGGAGACTGAGTTTTATACTTTTATGTTAAAAAAATTGAAATTTGGTCTGATTCAAATCAAGTTTCAATCTTATAGTATATATAGAAATATTTTTAAAATTATAATATATTGGGAATTTTTTTTAAGGTAGCCTCAAGTGTTGAAGATTTTGATTTTAATTTCATAATATTTATATAGAGGATATATTATTACAATACGATAGAAGCACGGAGATCGTGATGATAACAACATGGACTCTCGAGGCTTAAACAACATTGAGTCTCAAAATTAGCTAGAAGTTGCTAAATAAAAGTCAACCAACACTTTGAAACACAGGAGAAGAGAAAGATGAAAAATGCAGTGGATGAAAATAAATAAGTTTAATATGGATCTTCACCTGCACTGTCACCGGTGCCAGCACCGGCGCCAGCCCCGGTCCCTATTTCAATCCCAATCCCAATTCCTATTACAAATCCTCCCCCTCCTCCTACACCTCTTCCCCTACCATCTCCTGCTCCCCCTTCACTTCCTACGCCCCACCAAATCCACCCTCGTGACCTGACCCTCCCCCTAGACCTCCACTACCACAACCCCCTATGCCCCTTGCGCCTTCGCTAACACTGCCCTTGCTCTAAAGCCTCCACCATGCCCTGAACCTACACCCAATCCACCCCCCGTCGTCTCCTCCTCCTCCTCCCCCCCCACTTCTGCCACTTACACCTCCAAAAGCCCCACCAACACCACCTCCAGCTCCAAAGCCTCCACCGTGTCCTGAACCACTACCCAATCCGCCACTGCCTCCTCCTCCTCCTCCACTACCACCACCTCCACCACCAATGCCTCCGGAACCTCCACCAATACCACCTCCTGCTCTGAAGCCTCCACCATGTCCTGAGCCATCAGCCAATCCACCCCCGCTTCCTCCACCCCCACCTCCACCAACACCAATGCCTCCTCTAGCTCCGTTGCCTACACCTACCCCAGCTCCAAAACCTTCGCCTTGACCCGACCCACCTCCAACACCACGTCCTGTACCACCACCAAAGCCACCACCGGGACCACCACCAACTCCGCCTCCAGCTCCGAAACCTCCGCCTTGACCCCCACCTCCTCCGCCACCAAAATTACCTCTTCCTCCAACTCCTCCACGATGATCACCTCCTCTATCGTGAGGCCAATGCGGGCCAAAGCAACCTCTACAGTGTGGTCCACGTCCAAATCGACAATCACCATCTCCGAACCTAGCATCCTCAAGTTTGTTCTTGTCTCCAACAGTGATCCAATTTAATTGAAGAACAATGCAGAGAATGAGAACAGTCGCCCTAAGCCATTTTGGATGGGAAGCAGCCATGTCTCCTTAACACGAAAGAATCAAAAAGAAAGCAAGTGATGTGCATGGGCTTGCAGTTCCTTGCTATCAATTTATGCTTTTTATAGGCTTCGTCCATTAGGCCCCATGACTATTCCATTGAGCAGCTAGCCATTAATTGGTGCATGTGTCTTGAACCGTTGGGGAGTGGCCCTAACATTTAATGATGTAATGAAACTAGGAAATTTCAATCTATGTGCAATGGTAGATAATGCCCTCCGCTTCACCATATCTAACCACAAATCACTTATGCATTTAGCATGGCACGTTAGAAAATAACTATAGTTTATAGATGCAGTGCTAATTAAGATCATCTTAAAAGGACGCATGTTCTGGTTGTCACCAACATTTACATTTAAATTTTAGGAATAGTGCAGCCATTTAACCTATATGCACAGACATGAATATGTATGTGTGTTAACCTCGAGAAAGAATGAGGTCAACGATGAAAGTGGTGATTGTGTAAGAAGCTACTCAATTTTTCGTGGTTGCTTGCCTTTGTTAAAATAAAATACATGTCCCAAACTCAATCTTTTTGTAAGTTGAGGAGCAAGTAGATAAGAAGTCAAAGCCAAAGTAATTATAATTGGACAGAGATGTATGCATGCAAGAGAAGCAAGCATTCTTCAAAACTCTTCTGTACAAAGTGATGGATGGTGTTGAGCAAATTTGAGCTGGTCTACTCTGCCAATGAGTATTCATTTACTGACACCTTGTGCGGAATTAAACTGCAGACAGTTCTGAATGGGCATGCCAAAAAATTAATTCAGAGCAAGTGGTAGGCTCAATATATTGGACCTTGTTATCCTGTTGACCTTTTTTTTTCAGCATAGCTTATAAATCGGTATCGAGAAGGAATGGTTCATCCACATCAAATTTCTTCGTTTGAAAATCATCTCAACCCTTAGGAATGTATCGTTTAAGGAATACCTAAACAGCAGAGATTTTGCTGCAAAAATAATCAGGGAAACAAAAATATTAATGGTTTAGAAGGATTGGCAGTTTTCTGCACCTAGACACAAAATATTAAATTCTAGTACCATTCAAAGCATAAACTAAGTGCAGTCATTGCACTTAGTACTTAATACTTAGTACAGTTATTGAGTGCCTGTAACATTTGAATTATTAAAATTCAGATATAAAATCACTCATTTATTAATCTTAAATGGGATATGAATTTAGAATTGCTAATTTAAATTTCAACGATTTAAATATTACATGCATTCAATGCCTATATTAACTACAGTCATTGAATTCAAATCCAAAATAAGTAACATCTGATCACAGTACTGAAAAATGTGGCTTAAAGAGAGCTCCTATCAGTTGCACTATTTATTTATTATAGATCATTACCTGCTAACTTAGGAATCTGGAGAAATAAATTTCAGCAATGTATATGTAAAATAATTAAGAAAAGTGAGCGCTTCAAGCACCGGTCTCTGGAGAAGATCAGACAAAATCTCCGAAAGTCAAAGGATCATTGACCCGAAGGATTAACTTCACGTGTGTGATGCTTTTATAAATGATTGACGGTGTAGTTACGATCCAGTTGGAGAAGTTGAGGGGATGTTACGGGCTCGAGAGGTTAGCCAGGTTGTACGGTATTTAAATCTGGGGCCAAAAAATTCCGCAAAAGTTTCCAATTAGCTTCTTGGTTTTAATACTTGACAATGATAATAACCTTCCGCTCAAAAAGCTGAATTATATTCACCCTTATCATGGGCCCATAATTCACCCAACATTCTCTGCTCTCAACACTTACAACTTGATGATTCAAAATCTTACGCCCTATTATCAGTATCATCGCGTATAAAATATATAGCAAACATGTCTTTAAAATAAATAAAAGTTCAAAATTCAGCACAATGCCGAAGCAAACCATGAGATGGCAGTGGACGGGATCCATTGAGCATAGGTAAAGCGTGCCCAAAAATGGGGAGAATGTTACTGTCAAGTCTCAACCCAACGCACATCGCAGCCGTACTTGTGTTTCATCTCTTTGGGCCAAACTCAACAATGCACGTGGATACAGGTTTGCCATAAAAAAATTCTTCTCATTTTATTTTACCCATAAAAACCAACAGTGTGGAGGGGAGGAAAGTAAAATGACATCTCGCAAGGCAAACAAGAAAACTTATTAAAACAAAAGAAGAAGAAGAATTGGCGAACGGAAACCAATGACATTTTAAGAAATAAAATTCTGAAAATAGCACTAAAAGACCTGGTTCTTGTGATATGAAAATCAACTTCGACCAAAATGTCTATACTCAGTTGAAAATCTTTGAAGTTTAGTTATAAGTTATTCAAAATTTCATAGCCTGGTTCATAAATCCTTTGAGTTTCAAAATTTATCGGTTACTTACAAATAAGTTTTCTATCTTTAAAATCCACTCCATTTTTATAATTCAGTTTTTATCTTTAATACATCATATAGAGCCTAAATTGAAATGCAGCTCATAACTCGTGAATATTAACACAGCTCTCAATTAATTTTACTAATATATTAATATTTATTATCACTTTCTTAATTTTATTTGTTCTTCGAGCTGGATGGACCAGCTCAATATTTTTTATGTCTTATTTTAAAAGAGTGTATGCGTGAAAGCGATTGTACCTGGGCCGCCGTCCCCTTGTTCCAGGAGCTGTGGTGGGATCAGGGGTCGAATTGAACGTCGAAGCACGTGGATCACTAAACGTGGAAATATCACCCGTTCTTAAAAAATATGGGAGACCTTGAACTGCCTAAAATAACTTGTGTAAGAACTAAGAAGAAAACCGAAGAAAGTTATTAGGAAGTGCACAAATAATCAGTGGAAGTAAACAGAATAAAACACTTAAAAATTACAAAGAAGTTAGAGAAAAGTGATAAAAAATGATACAAGAAATTTAATGTGAGAAAACCTCCAATTTGAGGGACAAAAAACTCACGGGCAACAAGCGAGTAATTTTACTGTAAAAAATAAAAATTACAATAATTGTCTCTATTATAAAAGATGAAGAGATAAGATATATATATATATATATATATAAAGCTTCTTATCAGTTAAAAATATTGTTTTGAATAATAATAAATGTCTCCCATAATATCAAATAAAGGTATGATAGATTTATACCAAGATAATATATAAAAATAATTATAAAGGATTATAAAGATTTGAGTCATAATCTTAACAAAAGAGAATCAAGGTTTGGGTCTCACATGGATTTCCTAAAATGTCCTGTTTGTGATGAACAAGTATGCTAGAAAGGCGTGTCTTAAAATGGTGAGTTCTCGAGTCTTCTATCACGATTTTCCTAAATGCATGTTTAAAAGTAAAGAAAGTGAAGATTTAGATGGAGAAAAATAAAAGAATTGCACAATAAGAATAGAAATGATATTGATAATAATATAAAAGAACTTACAAAAAAAATATAAGATAGAAAACTTGAAAGAAAAATGTTGGAGCGATAGTGCTATTGTCTCACTAAGAGCTATTGCTCTGCTAGGCACAACAAGCTCGTTGCTATCTACTAGATATTTACTATTGTAAGGAAATTGCATCCAATTTGTCAAAATAAGTATATGGTTTGGTTAAACCAAGTGTTAAAGTAGTTGGAAAGGTTAAAGAGACCTATCTGTGTTATGTCTTCTTTTTATAGATGTGAAGTGACAATTTTTTTTTTAACCCTACCTTTCCTTTTTAGGGTCATTAATTGTAATTTTCTCCTATCCTCCACTTCCACTTTTCCAAAAAGATATGTAAGATGATTAGATCTTCTTATAACTCTCTTATTTCTAGAAGATTTAGAGGAGTTTGAGCTAAAGTTAATATTTTAGCCCAAATAATTGGGCTTCCTTGGTGTCAAATCTATATGTTAGCACTTCCCTTCAATTTATTCTCATGCAAATTAGTTAGAAAGAATCCATCATGATAACATATCTCTCATAACTTTAGCTTTAATTTGCGTTATTGTATTTTATCTAGTTAGCTCAATTTTCACTTGTTTGTTCACAAATTAATTTTAGTTCCTTAGATGATCAGTGCTGGCTATTGACTAGTTTAAAAAAAAAAAAAACCATTGCATGCTTTAGTACTTCAAGGAAGGGGCAGTGCTGTTTGGTGGAATCATCATACAGCATGACAACAGATGGATCTTAGATACAGTGCAAAAGTCAAAACTCTGCCACGTACTATTTCTGAGATCAAAGTTATTACTACTGGTTTATTGTAATGCTGGAGGCTTGGAATCAAAAAGTTGAATGTTATATTTGACTGTACCAATGCCACAAACTTGATTTTGAGGGAATCCTTTCAGAACCATCCTTTTGAAGACATCATTCAGGAGGTCAGGTCACTGGTGGCCACATCTGCTGGCATGTGATGTTTGGACATAGAATCAAGCCCTTGTAAATGGGCAGAGCCAGATGCTCTTATTTTATGACGGTAGGGATGATTGCTTCCATTACTGACCTGAAAGACACCAAATTTGAATATTAATTTTGTCAATAGAGATTATGTTAGACAAGCTTTTGTTATTGTCCTTCATACATATTATCCTCGGATAGTCATTTTTTTTAACCATCCTTCACCTTTCACTAGAGAAGAGGAGGAAGGACAAAGAAATGACCACTTTATTGTTCTCTGATTTGTAACCTTTTGGCATCTATGAATCACTTTTCATTTAAAAAAAAAAATCCATTGCGAAAGAGAAAATTAACAGCATAGTGAGGCTAATTGCTACCTTGTAAATTCCTCTCTCATCAATTATAAAAGGAAAAAAAAAACTCTCGGATCAGTGATCAATGATCCCTATATATATATATATATATAATATTTTATCCAACTTGATGAAGGTATAGTTAAGGAGCAGTACCAGTTCTGGCCCCAAAAAAAGAAAAAAAAAAAAGAAGAACCAGCATCATTCGTTATCACGTAATGGAATCCAAAGACGAGAAAAAACAGGTTGGAGGATCTGCTATTAATAATAATGAAAGACAGGCACAAAGGAAGTCAAACCAGAAAGAGACGGATGGTGATTGACCTATCAAAAGAATCTGTAGGTGTTTATGTCTGAATCCATGATCGAATTTAAAGAAAGAAAAGGGAGGGAAAGGGGGTTTAATTTCTAAGAGTTAGGTGAGTAGGTTCTTGCCCAAGAGATTTGTGACAAACAATTCAGCAATTCGCGGGTCTCCACATTCTTGGCTGATCCGTGACTACTCCACATTCTTTTGAATACAGAGAAATACCCAGAATTTCTTGAAATGAATAGAGTGGTATTTCTTGGAACTCGTGGCTAACCTCATCAGCTAGGAGGGCGTACCAGAATTAATCTATTTTGGTATCTGTATAGGACAATCATAAATTCAGAAACCTTTATATTAGCATATCATCATTCCCCAACAGTTAGAATGCAATGTCAATTTTAGTGGTCCAGAATATTGGGTGCATTTCATGACAATTTAAATTAAAAAACACAGAGCAGGCATTTTACTTAATCAAGCACTGGACGCTGTGGACGTCAACACTACTTCCCTACCATAGGCACCTAGTCTATGTCCAATTATATATGCAGTGACAATATGTTGACGTCATCAGAAAATTCATTATTTGTCCCAGAATCTGAGTTTTTTTAATAATTGAAATGAGCAAGACACTGCTGGAAATTAAGAGCCTTCTAATTTGATTTGAACTGAAGCCAAATTTTAGTGTCGTCATTTGTAAGGCAGTTTCGGACAGGGATCCGGGGAGAAGCATTAATCATTAGTCATGGTGGATGCCATGCCACTAGGTAACCTATCTATATGTATATTAAATAGGAAACAGTGTTGAATGAGGAAAAGAAATGGTGGAGCTAGCACTGAAAATAAGGAGCCAAAAACCAAAACTCAGCAATATAATGAAAGCAAAAGGAGAGCTGGTCCCTACGAGGAAAAAGGGCAGTCGAACAGTGCATACGTACATAACCACATAGAAGCAGTGCTTGATTATTCTATCAGCTTCTTGGCGCAGATCTCAGGGAGAGAAACGCTGGCTGCTATACCCATTAAAAGCCAAATGATCCTCTTTAAGGCTTCCATATATATCATGACCACCCTCGTTTTCTTTCTCTGTTCAAGGCTGTTGGTGCTTTGGCTTCACTAGAGGTGGCTTAGAGCAGTGGTGATCATGGGGGAGAGGGAGGCATTCATGAATGAAAGGTATTGGCGCGCCTCAATTTGAAGACATGGTTATATGTGAAGAAGGAAGCCATGTAGTTTAATTGAGCCGCGTCAATATCTCATCTTGCACTTCTCTTCCCTCAAACTCTCATATTTCAACACTCCTGCTGGCATGTTTGATTTTTACTCTTAATTGATCATCTCTCTTTTCCTTTCCGTTTTGGCTTCTTCCCCGTCATCCATTCCTCTATCTGTTGTTCTTTCCTTTCTCTTTTCTTTCCTTTTCTGTTATTTCCCATGTATATATATAGAACGTTATTTTTCTTGCGCTTGCCTATATATCCACCCCTTTCTTCCCCCCTCCCCCAGATAGATCAGCTAGTGCCTAGTAGATCGAATTATAAAGTCATATAACAGATTTATTTAAGTAGTTTTTTTTACCCAAAAAAAAAAAAGAGGATAGATTTAAGCAGTTTAGTTATATTGTTATATCTATGTTAGTAACGGCCATACTATATATTTTGATCTCCGGTAAAACCAAATTAAACCTAAATCTTGGAGTTATTGGAATGAGCCAGGGTAAAAGAGTGAGCTAGCACTGAAGACATTAAACTAGGCAAAAGAAATATATTAAGCATAAAAAGGATGTCAAGACTGAATATGCTTATCATTAGTGTTCTTATCAGCTGTCTTTTGTACCTTTGTCGTCTCTCTTCTATTTCGGCGGGCAATATATACATAATTTTCTTTATATACTGTTTTTCGGAGAGAAAAAAAGAGAGGTAATTGAATCAAACCACTACTTATTGCAACATGTCCCAATCGATACGCTCCGGAGCTATATCTTGCTAGAGATCGCATGTATACTGCGTAGCCTTACAATCAAGCACACAATGATGAGAAAGACACACAAATCAAGATAATATATAATTAGATCAGCCTCTCAGTTGGAGTGGGTGAAAATGGCATATCATGTTAGCCATCACAGCTTGCACCAACCATTTAATTATCTTATTTAATTTATCTATCATTAAAGATACGGATGTCAAAAGAAAAGATGTACAAAGACAGAGAAATAGAGGCCCATTTAACGATCCAGATATTCTAATTCGATTGTCCTAGAGCAGTTTGAGATATATAACCATGCACACTGCGGGATGATGTTCCTAGAAAATCGCATCTACACTAGCTAATTCATCAGAATTATTGTCGGAATTCATTTCAAAATTATCGGATCATGTTTGTATACTTAAATTCTATATCTTTACAAGGTAATGAAGGGAATCCTTGAGGAGCTACCCAATTAAGCACACTCGAAGCTACAAGTCAGGAGTCAGGTGTGTGCTTTCAGTTGGCTTGTTTTATTACTCCTGCATCAGATCTGTCCTCATGTATAGATAGGTAACAGCAGGTATATTATTTAATGTTTCCTGCTGGTAAATCTTCTCCCATGATTTTTGTTTTCGTCAGTTATTTGCATGCAAAAACGGTGAAAAAAATCTGAGGAGGGTGTGATTTCAGCATTCAGGAAGAGCTAGCAAATGATGAGAAGCTACGTGGCCGGAGAAACCCTAATCACATGATTCATGATTGCGTTCCTTGCTTCGTTCTGGGGAATATATATGGAAAAACAGTATAACCCCGTAGATTCACATGACAAGTTAAAAGTTGAAACCGAAACTTAACACTTTTGGTATCTGTCAATCCATGCGGTAATGGCATGCGTTTCATTTCCAGAAAACCATTTTTCTACAATTAGTTGATGATTCCCACTAATATTCCTCGCGATTCTGACCTTTTGTCTTGACTCTAGATAGAATCAAAAATAGCCTCCCTAAAATACTTAATCCCATTAATCACAACCACTTTTGCTTGGGTCTTTTTCGCGCAATTTGCAATGATGCGTGAAGGGAGGGAGCGGGGTATAAAGAAGATAATTTTTTGAGTAATATTATCATATCAAATACAGGAGAAAATGAATCCATCCCCCAAGGTAAGGTTAACATTGCCGGCCAGAAAAAGGGAAAGATTAAACGTTGTATCTTAATTACGACTTCAAAAAAAAAACCACAAATATTAAGCTTGTATATTTTTCAAGAATTTTCATTCATATTTGTAATTCATTTACCAAGCTAACTTCTTAATATTCTATCCATCTCAAATTATAAAATACTTTTAAAAAGATTCAACATCTTAAAATATAAGATATTTTGATAAAAATAAAATTTTATTAATGATACTTTTTTAATATTATCTTTTTATATATTATCTTTTTTAATATTCTTTTATTAATGGAGTATTGAATGAAATATATTTTAAAAATTTATATTTTTATCTTAAAAAATAATTTTTAAAGTGTATTTAATAAATTTTATTAGAATGTAAGATTTTATTTAAAAATATCTCATAATTTAAATTGAAGGAATATAATTTAGGAATAATAATATTTTTGTTGCATTTTTTTTTTTTTTGCATAAAGTCTGGCCTCGCGTTGTTGTACGGAAAAATGCCTTCTTCGAACAATCCCCATTTTCTTTCTTTCTTTCTTTCTTTTTCTTTCCTTTCCTTTTTGGTTGAGTTTTCCTAATATGGGTCATTATGGGATACCGAAGGGGATTAAACACGATCCAATGGTTTGAGACCAAAGAGCCGCTTGTTACGTGGGATTACGAGTTACGACTTTGGGTTGGCTTTTGTGGATGAAAAAGGCGTTAATATTGTGGAAAACAAGAGAGGGAGATGAGTCGCTCCCTTCTCCTCCACAGGTCCCAAAAATTGGAAAAAAAAAAAAAAAAAGTAACGTATTATCCAATCCCACTTTCCATGCCATCTCCTCTTCCCTCCTCGCCCCCCTCTTGTCTCAGAAGCCATGGTTATAAACCTTTCCTCCTCCCCTCCCTCCAACTCCACTTCCATCATTAGATTAGCCAACTCCAAATCCCCCATCTCTGAACCTTCTTTCAAGCTCAATATCCACTTTCCAAAACCTCATTCTTCCCGCTCTTCTGTATGCTACTCGTTTGCTTCGCCACACACTAATTTCGCTTGCAAGAAGCGCTTTTTGTTTGACAAGAGTAGGTGTACGCATGGAAATAAGGTGGATTTTAGAACTTGGGCTGTCGCTGGCTTTGATTATGGGAATTTCGAGGGTCCTCAGTCTGTTCTGGAGGCGGCTGCTGTTTTGACAGCGATTATTATTGTTCACGAGAGCGGTCACTTCCTTGCTGCCTATCTTCAAGGCATCCATGTAAGTAAATTTGCAATTGGGTTTGGTCCTATTTTAGCTAAATTCAATTCAAAAAATGTAGAATACTCTATTAGAGCTTTTCCTCTTGGTGGTTTTGTGGGGTTCCCTGATAATGATCCCGACAGCAATATTCCGGTTGATGATGAAAATTTGCTGAAGAACAGGCCAATATTGGATAGAGTCATTGTAGTTTCAGCTGGTGTTGTTGCTAATACAATTTTCGCATTCGTTATTATCTTTGTTCAAGTCCTGTCCGTTGGTTTGCCCGTGCAAGAGGTCTATCCTGGTGTGGCTGTACCCGAGGTTCGGGCCTTTTCAGCTGCTTCTCGAGACGGCTTGCTCCCTGGTGATGTCATTCTCGAGGTTAATGGGAATGATTTACCTAAACCCGGCCCTAATTCTGTTAGTGAGGTTGTTGATGTCATCAAGAAGAGCCCTAAAAGATACGTTTTGCTCAGGGTTAAAAGGGGAGAACAGAACCTTGAGATAGGAGTCACGCCAGATGAAAATTACGATGGAACTGGTAAAATTGGAGTGCAGTTATCTCCAAATGTGAAGATAGAAAAAGTTATACCAAAAAATCTCTTGGAGGCCATGAACTTTACACGAAAAGAATTTTGGGGTCTGGCTTCTAATGTCCTGGATGGGTTAAAGCAGACATTTCTAAACTTCTCGCAGACGGCTAGCAAGGTTTCTGGTCCTGTAGCTATTATTGCTGTTGGGGCTGAAGTTGCAAGGTCCAACATTGATGGTCTCTATCAGTTTGCTGCGATACTCAATCTTAACCTGGCCGTTATAAATCTGCTGCCTTTACCTGCTTTAGATGGTGGTACCCTGGCTTTGATCCTTATTGAGGCAGCCAGGGGTGGGAGAAAGCTCCCTCTGGAAGTGGAGCAACGGATCATGTCATCAGGAATTATGCTTGTCATACTCCTGGGGCTATTTCTTATAGTTCGTGATACCTTAAATCTTGATATCATCAAAGATATGTTGTGATTAGTGGGAAGTTTAATGGTCTGTGGGCTTCCAAAAACGTTTCATCCAAAGATGCTGTTAGACTGGTTTGGTAGCTTGTGATTTATCCAAAGAGGAGAAATGATCTATTTTGGGACGCCATAGTGGGTTGTTCCTGTTACTTGTTCACTGTTCTAACCAAGATCGTCTTTGTGATAGCATATATAAATTCACAAGTTACAAATACTGGTTTGGTTTATGATATATATTGGATTCTTCTCTCTCTCTCTGCTCTTCTTCCATACAATTCATGAAGCTACTGCTTAGCTATTTATAATCCAGTCTGTAGTCCCGTATGTTTTGTTAGATACCTTTTGATGGATAATCTGTCTTTGAAAATATGATTTAGCGATGCTTCATTATAACATTCATAGTACTAGGCAAATTTCATTATTTACTTTCTTCCATTCTGCCGTTCATGGGCTTCCTTAATGCATCATGGTACTCCCTTGTATAAATTTCTTTCACGTATCTTTGTGTTATTTTTTGTTCCATTGTTAAATAATATGTGAAATGATATATCTGTTTTATAATTCATACTTTATGATCTTTTGTTGGGGGGGAAAAGAATCATTGCCCGTGTTTTTAGCATATCTCAGCTGTGAATTTTTGGGGCCACGGTTTAATTATATTTGGGGTTTGGAGTATTCTTCTCTTCAAAAAGAGCCGTTGGCTGTGACATGCTTCTTCCAATAGGATACCTTTTAGAAATATTTTTTTATTCAAAATGTAAGACATTTTATAATAATTAAATCACTTTTTTTCAATTTAATCTTTTATTAATTAATGTGAATATATTTAATATCATTATGTTATGATTTAAAGTTAAGGGTAAAAGTAAAAATATATATATATATATTTTATGATATAAAAAAAGTTAAAATATATGAAACGATAAAAAATATTTTATAACAAGAATTAAAGGGTGTAATGTGTTATTTCTTCAACCGACAACAAAATGAGATGAGGGGTTTTTTTAAAGACACGGCCTCTTCACAGTTTCCTTCATTTGTTAAAAGAACAAAAGTGAAGAAAATTGAGGAGGAATGATGCCATTGCTGCTTCAACTGTTTAGCAGGAGGAATGAGAGCCAAACTGAAGGATTATTGAAACAGAGGAGGGTTGGTGATTTACTTTATGACAATCTAGAGATGTTGAGCTTCAGAAATTTCTGTTCTATGTCTATCATTGTATTGTTTTTTTTTTTTTTTTATCCTTCTCACTCTTATTCGTATTTTTCTTTATGGGTTTGGCTGCTGAAATGTTTAGCTCCCTCTTACACGGTTGCCAAATCACCCTGCTGGCTTCCAAATGTTGCCATTTTCGACTCTTAAATATACATTTAATTGGGTGCTTTTGTTTTGGTTACCTTGCGTTTTCCCTTTGAAATACGCAACATAATCAATTTTAAGCCCCAGCTCCTCAGTACATAAAGAGAAGAAATTCTTTGAGAAAATTCTTCTGCGCTTTTCTATTTGATGCTAATAGTTTGGGTAGAAAACTAGAAATCGAAAACATGTAGCGATGATCAGTTTCATTTGATTTTTGATTAATTCCAATGTGTACGATGCAGGAAACCAACAATTAGACAGTTATTCAGATTTCGTTAATTTTGTAGCCCAAAAAGTTGTTAATGAACTTGGGCCGATGGGACTCTAGGTCCCGGAGCAAGATGACTTGTGGAATCTGTGTGTGTGTTTGTGTTATGGGATGTCCAATAGTGGACCGCTGCTAAATTAATAGAGTTGTTTTTTTTTTTGGCCAATACGCAAGTCAATTTTATTAATCATACAAAAAAAATTACTACACACACTAATAGTTGAAGCTTTAAAAAAAAAAAAAACCACTCAGAATCCAATATAACAAGAAGCAAACACACAAACTTGAACAGAAAGTCATAATCAAAACGAACAGCAAAATAACTAACAGAAGGGAAAAAAAAATCAGGAATAGTAGAAAACAAAACACAAAAACAGTCATCATCCATGCAGCAACAACACCACTTTAACGTACGCCACTTCTCTCCATCTCCAACCTGCCTTCTTTTAACAAAAAAGAAGACAAAAGCCTCAAATCATTGGTCAAAATATTAACCAAATGGGGTGTTTATGACAAAATTATCCAAAAGGACACAATCCCTTTTTACAAGACACAGCTATCCAATCAGTTGCTTCATTACCCTCTCTAGATGAAAGAGTAATAACAAACCCAGAGCATTTGGCTAAACACATCTTAAACTTTCTTGATATCCTACCTGCCCTTCCAATCAGCCCCTCTTGTTGATTTCTTTTTACAGCATCAGAAAAGATCAGCACAGTCAATTTCTGTTTCAGTATCTTTCACATTCTGCTGATTCAATATTGCAATATCTTTCCTAATCGCCAGTATTTCAGCCACAAATGGAGAACCAACTTGCACCATCTCTCCAATTCCCCAAAGCTTTGTGTTCCTGCAAATCAAACCAATAACATCATTGTTAGTCATTATATCATAAGATTCGTCACAATTCACCTTAACCCTTCCTCTCTTCGGACCCATCAAATCTTCTTATTATCTTTTGCCTTTATTGCCTCACTCTTCTCTTCCAATGTCACACTTCAATACTAAGAGTATGACTAACGTGAAATATGAGCCTTAACTAACTAAAGATTGAGCTAAAATATTGATAATTAGTTTATGCATTTAATTTTGAAGTTTGAAAAATCTTAAATATTTTGTAAAAATGTTGACAGAATTCCCCTGTAAATTGAACCTGCCAAAATTTTCACAATAGCAAAACCTGTCAGTCAATCCATTTAGCACAAGAGTCTAGCTCCACACCAACAGATTATATATATATATATATATATATAATCAGTAAAACAAAATTAGGACCTGACCATGGTATACGTGGAGCATTAAGTTATAATTACATATAACAATATATTTATATGAAAATACCCAAAATTTCTTTCGCGATCCAAAAACATACTATCTCTTAATAATTAGCAGACATGGTCATCTACAATATCTAAAATCAAAGAAATTTTTAATGAGTAGCGCTCCAATCAAAATTATAATTTAAAATATAAAGATAATAACTAATAAATTTAATTCAAAATGACTTAATAAATGAAATATATATTTAAGCTAACAATAACTAACGAGTTTTTTAATAATATAATGTGAAATTAAATAATGCTATTAGAATCACAAAAATGTATTAAAATTTATACTGCTCATAAAATAAAATTAAAAATTTTAATAAAAGTGCAATTCAATAAAGTACTTTCAAAAATTAATAGAAAAATAATAAATTTTAACTTAAATTCAGGAGGGCTTTATCAGAATGAATAACAAGTGTGGATACACAATCCACGAGGGTAAGTAACCAGTCAAGCGTGGCTGAAAGTCACGAAACAAGCATGACAGGAGCCACGAATCAAGTGCAGGCATGTAACCTATGAAAACAAGTGTGAGTATGATATTCGCGAATAATCATCTCTCCATTTCACATGCGTTGGCTCTCGCACGAGGCAAGCACCTTCTATAAGCACCCTACTAGTTGGGTGTACCATAGCGCACTAAGGGCTAACGGAACTGTCGTTAGCATCCAGCGTTCTAAAGTCATTCCTTCTTAATAAAATCAAGCATGTATGGATCAAGAAAATAATTTTAAAATGTTCTCTTTCAAACACCAATCAACCATCATTTTTTTTGTCCAAATTTATCATTATTTCCTTCATACATGAATCATTTCATTAAAAATTTCATATCAACATAAAATTCAATAATTAAACTACTTTAAATATATATATATATATATCATTTATCATGGATACGTTTCAACCATTATTTATCAACAATATAAATCACCAGTAAAATAAGACATTTTTATTAATAAAACAATTATAAAAAATAGGATTAACAATGATATTTGTATAATTTATAAAAAAATAATAGTAAAATTTAAATAAAGGATTTTATGAACATTTTGTTAGAAATTTATTTAGAATGCTACCCACTCACTTGAGAGATTCCAAAAATTATAAAACCTGACTCCTCGAATTCTCACTTACTTTAGTAATTCTCTGAATAATTTAAGCATAATCCAATAATCCTCTTGTCATTATAAATTTTCTTTCTCATAATAAACAAGCAAAATTAACATTTAAAATTTTTAATATTCTCAAAAATTTTCATTGTTCTCTTAAATTTTCACTAAATCCTTCAACAATTTCTATCAAGTAATTAACAACACAAAGTAGCAATCAACTACCACCATTGATATAACTTTTATTCTAAACCTAACAAAATTTTAATTATTATTTACTCTAATAATTTTTCTTTAAATGCTGTAAAATTTTAATAATAGATCAGTTTTGCAATGTATATGAAGACATATGTTTTCTCAACTAGTAAATATAACTCCTCTAAACTCTAATATGAAAATTAAATAATTTTACTACCATCAACTTCTTATTTCAAGCACTCATGCATGCACCTTGGGACATTTATCATTGACCAAAATTATAAAATGAGAATCCAAGCAATTTCAACGAATTTCAAACTTTCAATTCCACAACCAAATTCAGTTCCCCATCATAACGAAATAACATCCAACATTAATCGAAATTACACCTTAATTCCTTCTAAACTTTCTAGACAGCAGCAATAAAATATAGGGGTAGCATCAATTAGCTAGAGGAAGTAAGAATGATGATTCGGTGCTGCTATAGAGATCGAAGGAGAAGGAGAAATAAAACAGCCACTTACCTCAAACGAGATAGTAGTATCATCACCATAATCAGCACCTAAACGACACTGCAGAAGGAAAGGGGAAGGACTTCGCTCTGCTACACTAACGAGAAGAAGAATCAATAATTTCCAGCCAGCAGAAGAGATAATTCAAGCTACCATACACACTCGGACTTCCAGCTATGGAAGGGAAGAAAAGAAAAGAGATAAACACGCACGCACGCACCTCTGTCATCACAAAACAGCAAGGAAATGAAGGGTAGATTCAGCCAATCAATCTGAGAGAAACGGACGAACAAGAGAGGGGGAGGGAGTGAACAACTTTCCCGCAAGGAGAAGACATCCACGCTAATGGCAAAGTCGAAGTTGGTGTCACAGAAAGAGAAGAAAATAGAGAACAAATGCGAACGCTCTCTCACTCTGTTCTGTAAAGCTAACCGACATAGGGGAAGGGAAATTTAAATAAAGAGAACCATGGGGAAAATTACAGAACAGGACTAAAGCTTGTGGGGAAATTACATAATAATATCCCATCAGTTTTTTTTTTTTCACTAGATCAAGGCTCCTCATGTGCTATAACTAAAATAATTAAATAACATATCAAAAGGAAAAGAAAATCATTTAATATAAATTTTTAAGTTATTTCATTCAACCAACATTTTTTTTTGCCAAAATTCATTTATAGCTTTTCCAAACCTATAGATAACTCTCACTAGATCAAATTACTTTTAGTAAAACATGAAATCATTTCTTTCCTTCAAAATTAGTCATATAATCCAAACAAAGTGAGTAATCTGAAATTTATCAACCATACTACCTCCTAAAACTTCTCTTTAAAACCACTCACCAAATTGTCTTTATCAAATCTCAAAGATAGATCACTACAAAACCATACATATTTAACCCAAGAACCAAAAAAACAAAAAATTGCAAGTTCAATTGATTCAACTTCCTCCCCACATATATGACAAATAAGATCCTTGCACCATTTTTTTGCTGTGCAAGTCTTCTGTCACCAATAAAGCTCTAGCAACGCATCTCCAAAGGAAATGAACAACTTTTGGTATGTTTTCACCTTCCAAACACTTTTTTATATAACTTCTTTAATTATAGAAGAGGAACCAGCCCTCTTGTCAATAGTCTTCTTATCTTCTTTAGTTCTGTAATAACCTCTCTTAACTTCATAATGTCCGTTTCTCGCCATTTCCCAAATCACCTCATCATTTCTAACACAATTAGGCCTTGGCATATTTTTAATTTTCAATAGCATCTGTTATGGAATAACGTCCTCCACAGCTTCTACAGACCGCCATCCTTCTTGAATTAAATCCTTTATTTCCCTTAGCACCAGATAACGATCTTCTAAACAACCCTTTAGTCCCTTCACCCAATTGTCTTTCCACAATCTTATCCCTCTACCATTCTCAACTCCCCAAAACAAATCCTTACCTAGTAATTTCTGCCATCTAGTAGACTTTTCCAGATCCAAGATGCCCTATGCCCCTTCTTTGCTTCCAAAAAAGATGAATTAGGAAAATATCTTCCTTTAAGCACCTGAACCCACAATTCATCACTACTATTCAATACCCTTCAGGTTGTCTTATCCAGTAAAGAATCATTCATTGCTTCAAAATCCTTAAACCTCATACCTCCATCCTTCTTAAACATAGTCATCTTATCCCATAACTTCCAATGAATTTTAGTCTTATTAACATCCCCACTCCACTAAAATTTAGTTACAATTCTATCCAAGTCTTTACAAGATTTTTTTTGTAAATTTAAAACAAGACATAGTATACAAAGGTTCACAATTGATTTTATCATAATTTCCCTACCTGCATGGGATAACAACTTGCTGCTTCAACTTTGTACCTTCCCTCCAACTCTTTTGGTGATATGTGCCAATGCTTGATGGTTTGTTTTATCCCAAATATTGAGAATTCCAAGATATTTTCCAGGCTTCTCAGTGCCTCCAATACCCATGATGCTGCACACCATTTCTTTAGTTTTCCTTTCAGTGTTATCAGAGAAAAAAATCACAGATTTACTGAGATTTGCCAATTGCCCAGATTCCTTACAACATCAATAATTTCAACCAATCTTCTACAATTCCCTTCATTAGCATTCATAAAAAAAGTCCATCATCTGCGAAAAAACTATGAGTAAACATAGGACTTTTGTTCGCAATGCTTATATCATTCAACAGGTTTTTGTCAGCATAAGAATTAATCATACAAGTCAATACCTCAGCCACAAGAATGAAAATATAAGGAGACAAATGATCTCCTTGTCCCAAACCTCTCCCTGGATTTATTTCAGCTACCTTCTTTCTAGAAAGACACGAGTTGGATTTAATGGTATAGAGGCATTTCATAACCAAATTCACCCATTCATCACATAAACCAAACGTAAGAAGAGTAGCTTCAACATAATCCCATTCTACCCTATCATATGCCGTACTCATATCCATTTTTAATGCAAACTGCTTCCTCACACCCATCCTCCTACCCCTCAAATAATGAAAAACTTTATGTGCAATCACACCATTATCATGCATTGATCTTCCTAGAATAAAAGCAGCTTGGTTCTTGGAGATACAGTCATCAATCACTAATTTCAACCTATTAGCCAGCTCTTTAGAAATGATCTTGTATACAAAATTACATAACCCTATAGGTCTGAATTGACTAACATCATAAGGTTTTTCAACATTAGGAATTAAAGTAATATTGGTCAAGTTTAAATCAGCAATATTACCTTTGCCTTCAAAAAAATCAGCAACCATTCTGTACGCACAATCGCCAATTTGATCCCAAGATGCTTGGTAGAATTTACCACTGTAACCATCAAGTCCAGTGGCCTTGCTCCCACCTAACTGAAAGACAACAGCTTGAACATCTTTACTAACAAGAAGCAGCAAATTTTCGTTCATATCCTCAGTCACCTTACACTTAACATACTTCAACACTTTATCAAAATTCCGTGGCTCATAAGTTTTGAATAGATCTGCCGAAAAAACAAATATGAGAAGCATTAAGCAATATCGCTCTCTTCTTCAACCCACTCACCAGCACTATTTTTTATTCTTAGAGCAGCATTTCTTCGTCTCCTTTGCACAATGGTGAGATGAAAGGATCTAGAGTTCATATCTTCAGATAGAATGTGTTGTAAGTATTTTTTTTTTCCCCTTTCCAGGGGCCAATGTATTGTTATTTGTTAGTACTTAGTACTAGTAATACTTTGCTACTTTGATTTTCATTAAAAAAATCGTTTGTCTCAGTTGAGTCTTTTTGTACATGCATAGCGCATTCAAAGTCGCATTCAAGCCGGCATATTCGAATCACAAGCCTTTGGGCCAAATATATATATATATATATAATCACGAGCCTGCCCTAAATCAGACCTTACCCATTTTTAGTTTTTTGTCAACGGTGGATAGAACCGCAGTTTTTTTTTTTTTTTTTTAGAACTCCTTTTCACATGCTAACATCTGATATCAACCAAGCAAGTTGTCTAACTGTATTTTGTTAAATGTGGAGTTCCCTTCTTAAAACCTAATTACTTGTCTACCTGTATTTTGTTTTTAACCAATAAGAGTGGCTCTAGCAGAGAGGACTAATCTCTCACAACATGACAAAATCAAGATTTGAACTTATATAAAATGAGGTGTCCATATTTAATATTCGATGATGTTTTGAATAGAATTACTTCTCATAGAATAATACATGTAGAAAACAAAAAAAATTATTTCTTTGCAATACAATTTTTAAAATTGTTTTTAGAAACAAAACAACCAAATATGCTAAATTATGTTAATTTAAAAATATTTTTAAAATTAAAAAATTGATCAATAGCTATGGTCGCCTTTGGTTAATTTTAATAGCTTATTATAAAATTATAAACTTTTAAAAATATCCCTATACATTTAAATTACTCCTTCAGTCCTATTTGTAAAGGACACCTTGTAATAATTAAACTATTTTTTAATTTTATCTTTTTTTAATTAGCGTAAAGGTATTTAATATAATTATATCATGATTTAAAGTTAATGATAAAATGAAAGAACATCTTATTTTTTATGATATCAAGAAAAAAATTAATTTTTCTTAAAATAAGTGAAATGGATGAAATTGTCTTATAATAAAAAGCAGAGGGAGTACAATATAATATCATTTTAATTTCTCTTCACATGAAGGATAATTTAGAAAGGTATCATTAATAAAATCTTATTTTTTTTAAATTATCTTATATTTTGGGACAATAATATGCCTCTAACTTTATCTTATAATTTGAGAATGAGAGAATATTTTTAGAAATAGAAACCAAATAACCTCTTAAATTCTAAATCCGATCCAAATCTGATTTTAATCTTAAGTCGCAACCTAGGTTAAATCTTTGACTCTATACACTCAAGCTTATCATATAATATATATATAATAGCCTACTGTCATATCCCACATTAAAGAACTTGAAAAAAATATTGGCTTGGCTATATAAGCAAAACTAACTGTACAATTCAATGAGCTAGCTTTTTTAAAAGAGAGTAATGATCATGTAATAAAGTTATCTTAGAGTCTGACCAAATTTATTTATTGGTGAGCCTCTTAGTCGGCCCACCTGTGGACAGCCTTGTCATGGATTGGCGAGTGAGATGATGGTTATATTAACCAGAACCATCTTGGGTGCTCATCACCCTGATGAGCACCAGGTTGATGCAACTTTTTAATCTGGATGGTCTAGATTAAAGAAATAATTTAATATTTTTATATTTATAATTTTAAAATATAAAAATTATAAAAAATTCTAATAAATTTTTTTTGACTAATCTAGTCTATATTTAACTTGGAGTGTTAATTTAATATAAAATTTTTATATTTTTATATATTGACTATCTAGATATATTCTGTATAGTTTAGACTTAAAATTTTTAACTTGTAATTTTTTTAAAAAAATATTTTTTAAAAGTTTATAATAAAATATTATATGTTTTATTTTTTAATATGTATTCATCAAATAAAAAATAAAAAATTTTAATTTGGACCTTCTAAATAAACATTGATATCGAATATATAAATTGTCCTAAATATATGTAGATGGTCAGTTTAAAAGTTTATAATATTAAATTAAATTATTTAAATTAAATCAATACTGTTCAGATTGATACTGAACTTTGTATAAAAAATTATAAATTTTTATATTAATCAAATAAATTTAATTTAACTTAAAAAAATTTAATCATTCAAATTTAATCTGAATTGCTCAAGTTATTTTTATGGATGAGCGGCTCGGTGCTCAGCAACTAACGGACCCTATATAACCCAATGAGCTACTGTGACACCTAAAAGGATGTTCCAGCAATTTCCTAGAGGGCGAGGAAAGTCACGAGGAGGTAGGACCTAGTAAAGTG